TATATATATATTAATTTATAATTTGCAAATTCGTATTTAGAATTGCTAGAATACAGAAATAGGACTGCTAATCTTAATTCACAAAAACGAGCATAAATTCTTCATCTTCTTTGTCATAATTCTTTTCTTTATATTAATCGGCTCACTTATTCGTAAAAGCAGAAAAAAATAAGCTTCGAGAACCAACAGATACTTTGATGTCGACAAAGTCAATATCAAATAAAGAGACGGTTTCTATAATTTACTATTCATTTTCTCTCTCTCTCTCTCTCTCTCTCTCTCTCTCTCTCTCATTATTTTCTACTTTTAATATTATTTAATCTTTTACCGATATCTCTCGTTAAATTGACAACGCTATGTCATTTCTACAAGTAGATGCAACATTTAGCGCAGATCTTCTTTCAACAGATTCTGATGACGGAACCATCTGAATCGATAAAGAGTTAAAAAATGATTCAAATTATTTGAGAATTTATATAATAATAAAACAAATTGCGGATATTTTAGTTCACGCATCCCCTTGCCGATTCATAAACTTCTTCATAATTACCTCTTATGAATAAGATTATTTTGTGTATGATATGTTCTTTTGTACGTATTCTGTGAGTTCTAAATATTGTCACTCAAATTCTTTTGAATCTTTCCTTTTTTTCTTATAATTTCTTTGTTCTTTTATTATATACTCAATAACAGAGTAAGCCTTCCATCAAGTAACATGATAATTTTTACTTGATGGTTCGATATAAACATATATATATATTAGCTAGTAAATAAATATAATTCATAAAGTACGTATATCCAAGAAATATTTTGATAATGTATCTAATCTTCCATATTAGATGTTTAACAAAATTAATACACAAAAAATTAATACATAAAATGTGATTATTTAAAAAAAGAATAACTTGATGGAAAATTTAAAACTTGTGAATTGTGCATCAATAATTTAGTTATCTGAAACATAATAATATAAATAAAAGATTTCTTTCATATGAAAGATTTTTAATTTTTGAGGATATTCTTTCTTCTTTGGCTACTTTTTATTTGAATCATGGTCTTATTATTACTTTGTCATTTTTAAATAACTAATGTGGTCGCCGTAATATAAATGGACAGTCGTAACACATACACACACATATGTATGTGCGTGTACATCTATCTATTTTGAGAAAAGAGGATAAAATATACATTATTTCAGAAAATATTATTAATATATTGTTACAGTATTTAACCACAAGGCACTTTCAAGGCCTTTATTGCTATATCGACAAGATAACAATTGAAAAAAGCAGTGAGAAAGTTAGAAGAAAAATCATTCATTTTACATATTAAAAGACTGTCCATACATTAAATACATGTTTCAAATAAAGAAAAATTTGATGTAAAAATATATTTTTCAAATATAAAAAGTAAAATTTTATTAACATTCATAATTAAAAAATATAAATTCTCACTGAAACTGTATCTTCATAAATTTTCTTAATAGTCGTAATGTTAATTGTGCTCTTTAGATATCGAAAATAGTTTTTCTTAATTACATCATATTTGTGGAATACGTATACATTCCATAAAAAATGTAAAAATTAATAGATTCGCTTTAGCATACATTATGTCGCTCATAGAATATCGAGGATGCATTTGATACCGTGGAATAAAATATTAAATATGAGAATTTATGTATATTTGAAATTAAGGCAACAGATATAGACATCGCTAGTGTCTGTCTTATGCGTGCAATAACGTTAGCTTAACGCTAACAGCTGTATCCATTATCCTACTCGAGTCGTAATAACCCGTCATATGCAATGCCTCAGTATTCAGATTGCAATTTCAAGTGCTGAAAACGGATGATACTTTGTATAACTTAAAGGTGTGAAGACGCTTTCTTCTCAAAAAGAATAAACGGACATATATATAAAATACGTGTGCGTGCGTGCGTGCGTGCGTGCGTGCGTATGTGTGTGTGTGTATGTGTGTGTAAATTTAATTTTTATAATATTGTATAAAAGTGAATGTAAAATTATGCAAATTTTCAATTTTCTAAAGCCGAAAAGTGAGATTTCAGTGTCCCCCTCCCTTCATAATTTCGATCTACGATATGTTTCATCACAGTTTGCATAATACAAATATAATAATGCAATAATTATACAAAACAATGATCCATGCATTAGGTATTTTTACAACATCGTCACATGCTGAACTAAATGAAAGCTTCGTGAGATAAATAAGAAAAAATAGCGCTATATCTTACTAAAAACAGTTTAGTAAGGTATAGTCATGTTTCGTGCTGAAACAAAAGAGTCAGTTCGATCGAAACATTTTAAGCTTACATAAACCCGTCGAATGAACTCTTTCCTTAAATAAGTGTGCTCTAAATTAAAGCTAATGTACACGATTTTAATTGTCAATGTTAAAAATCAACGTGTCGATCTGCACGTGAAACGATATTACATTATTCTATTATATTAATCTCTAATAAATTATTTACAATAATCTTACTAACGCATTCGGTCATATCAACTCTTAATAAGCAACAATGATTTTGTCGCGCTATAGATAATATTTTGCCGATTGCATTACGACAGCTCCGAACGAAAGTGTTACAATCTCTTTCGAAATAGAAAACATTATTAATTTTAAAATATCAATTCTTTTCGTGAGTATATATAGTAATAACGTATCATATCAGAAAGATAAAATATATATTAATTTATGTTTTTACTTTCATATATATATATAGTTTATCTATTATTCCAAAAATTAAAGATTTGATATCTAATTTGATATCTAATTGGTACTATATTTCAATAGTATTCAATTTCATAATCTTATCTTTTTATTGTCCTTATATTCTTTATAAATTATAACAATTTTTGTTTAACACTTGCGTTCAGAATTATACATATATACAAACTCTCTACTTTTTCCTTAAGACAACAAGGCCCAATAATACATTTTAAAATACTAGATTTCCAAAATGTCTAGTTGATGTTTGTTTCTATGAATGAGCGATACTAGAGATCCTCAAATAAAAGATTAAATACATTTGATTCATCACATTTTTCAGAATCTAGATAAAATGAAATAGATGCACGGTCTAGCTCAAATGTATGGTATCTTTTACTTGAGGATTTCTAAGTGATATTTAAAGATAATACTAAATCCTATTATCCAATAGATAACTGATATGGAATTAATTTTATACATATATGCACTTCTCGCTTGTGATACTAAATCCTATTATCCAATAGATAACTGATATGGAATTAGTTGACTGTGCAGTTTATTGTGATACGTCTTAGGCCCGGTTTAACGTAAGATAAACTTTAATCTTAATTTAATTTACTATTTATTTTTTTTTATTCATAGAATTAGAAGAAAATAAAGAATAAATTGAATCGATGAAAAGTTAATCTTACATTAGTGAAACCAGATCTTAAAGTGAAATTAAAATCTTTCAAATTCTCTGTCATATATTGCTACATTCATATAAGTTCGAAATTTTTTCACATATTGCGTGTTTTGTGTTTTAGTAAAAAAAAATCTGTACAGTATAAACATTGTAGAATATTAATATCATAACTTTTGGAAGATTTTCTCCCAGAAATACTTGTGCATGCTTAATCTTATATTTTTATCATAATTAAAATAATAAAGCTAACTTCGATGAATTAAACGAAATTAGTGATTTTATTTGATAGAAAGATATGAATCAATAGAACTTTGATATATTTGCATTAAGTAAATGTAGAAAACTGATTAAAGTTAATCAATAATTCACTGGAGAAGAATAATAATCCCTCTAAATTGAGTTGCTTAACCATAATAAATATTTAAAGGCCAATATATCAGTTTTCTATAAAAATTGTTATTCAAATTTATATTTAAAAAGAGATATATATCGTAGAATGCAAGATATACACGATATGCAAAATTTATAATTGCAAGGCCATTTAGATATTTGTATATACGAAACAATTTCGCTAATAGCTAACATATTAACAGTTTTTATAAATCCCATGGCACATTCAAAAACGTAAGGCAATAAATATAAACAGTATGGAAATCGTAACATTGGATTCGCTTTTGGTTTTACAGTCTCTACTGTAATGGCCAATTCGCTTAATACTTACGTCTTACTGCCTTATGTTTTCGTGTCCATGAGCTTAAGATTCACTGGTTTTTCCTACCTTTTACTGTTTTATAAATGTAGAAAATAAATTTCCTTTTTCTTTTCTCAATGATAAAATTTTTAGGACCTCACCTATCATCATAGGAATTCAGGATTATCGAAATGTAAACTAGTGTAAAACCTATATCAAATTAGAGATTGAGGATTGCGAATTGGAGATTAGAATTGAGTGACTGATATGCAAAAGTAGCTGTATTTAAATATGTAAAAAATATTAAACATTGGAATTAAATTTCTTAATTCCTTGATTATGAATTGAATGTTTTAAAAATGTGCTAAACAGTTACAAATTTCTATAAAATTCAGGAAGAAAAATGGATCTAACTGCAAAAAAAAAGTTAGACTTCATAATGAAAAAAGTATAAAAGTTTAAATCCTTACTGTTGTAATAAAAAAAGTGTAAAAAAGTTACCCCTATTTGCAAATGTTACATCATTAATAATATTTAATAAAAATGATAGAAACTTTATTTCTATCAGCTAAAATCCTTTTTCTAGCTGCAAAACTAATCAAGTGCATTCTATTTTAATAAATACAAATTGTGTTTCTTATGTCATATTATGCATGTTTTATTAACTAAAATAATTAATTTTTTCTAATTAAAAAAAATTTTTTACTAGTAATTTGAATGAGAAAAATTGTAAAAGTTTTTTGCACATCAAAAAAATTTTAAATGATAAAAGGTAATAATTTTTATCAATAAAATAAACATCAATTCAACTAATCAGAACGAAATGGATTAAAACTAAATTGATCTGGTTGTGATTAAATTCTAATTTTTGTTTCGCATTCTCAATCTTCAACATATAATCTGATATGGGCTTAATAGAAAAGATCATGCTAAAGTTGTAATAATCGCAACATATTACTCTACAGCAAAGCCACAAGTTTCTTCAACCGCCTGCGTAAGCTTGTCAAGCATCTTCTGATAAGTTGGATAATTTTGCGGTATGTCTATTCTATTGAAACAAGTATGTGCTTTTGGGAGATTTTCGCTTGGGGCATCAACGGCATGGATCGTAAAAAGCCGTGGACCTGCCGCTCCTGTCGATCCTACACAATCAAATGTAATATGTGATTATTATCTACGTGTTATATTTTAATCAAGATATTTATTGAAATTTTATAAAATTTAAATTAGTAAAAGACAGGGATTCCACAAGACTATCTGTCTTTTTCTACAATTAAAGCCACAAATATATAGGCTAAGTATAGAGTCCCTATACTGATAATCTGGTCAATATTGTCATTTATCTTATTAATCTCTCAAAATATGGCGAAATTAATAAGGTGTCTCAAATACATACATACATATACTACACATGCATTACTTTCTTTTTTCTTTACTTATGACTTCATATTTTGTCAAACATTAATCAAACTCTTATTATAAGGATTTTAGATAAATTTAGGAAAAACACTGCAGTATCAGTTACTCTCTTCTGTTGTGTATTATCTTCTGTCTCATCTTGATTTGCTTTTATAAAAATTCATGAGACACGAAAATGTGCATAAATGTAAGTGTACGAGCGTACATTTATTGCTAATATTTATTGCTAATCAATTATTGACATTTTGTATTATCAAGAAAAAATTATTAAAAATAATATTTTTAAAGAAACAGAATTTAAATTTAAAAAAAATTCCAAAACTTTTCCTGAACCGATAAAATTTTTAAGAATAAAAGAAAAATCCCTTAAAATTTCCAGATTTTTCAAGTTAATACTTCGTTAACGCAATATGATTAAATATGAAACTTACCTTGCAAAGCCTTGAATCCCTGTAACGGAACTCTGGAGCTACCGGTAACAAATTGAAGCAATCTCGCTCTCATTTCTTCACCATACGATTCCACTATCTGCCAGAACCATTGCACAACCGGTGTATCAGGCGTGCAATGCTTAAGCCGAGTGTGCATTTTCCAATCGTTTATGTCGATAGTGCCCAAACCGCCAATAACTAACTCCAATTCGCGTTCGTCGAACGGTCTTAATAACAAGGGAGGTATCAGTTCGTGAAATCCTTTCTGTAATGCTAAGAATTGTTGCTCGATACCGCGCATAAATCGATAATTTACGTATAAGCGGACATATTCTCTCTTGTTTTCTTCCGTCACCGAAATGTCTTTACCGCCTGGCTTTAGTTCGTGATTCTTCAATACGCCGAAACTACTGTGCTCTACAGAAAAAGTAGCATCCAACACGCCGTCTATGCTATTTTCCCTAATAACGTGAAATATAGTAAATTAAATATATTCTTTAGAATTATCTCTACACTGTAAAAAAATTACACGTAAAATTACGACAATTATAACAGTTAATTTTGGGATCCACCACTATTAAAAATGTATATTTACATGTAAGTAAAATTACAACTTGCAAATAAAACTATTTTTCTTTAGAATAATTAATTTGCAAAAGTAAATTGTAATTGAAGTTAAGTTTGTAGACTTATGTCATTTTGTTAATTTGCTAACAAATTATTTCTTAAACTATATGAGAGATTGATATGTACGAATTAAAAAATGTAAATATATGTGTGGCATTACCATTATGTTATATATTTAAAAAATTTGTACACATAAAATTTGTTTACATAAAAACTATAAAATGTATTATTGCTATGGTAATTTTTCGTCTAATATAAAAATATATTTACACAATTAGAGATGAAAATATTAATTCTTATAAAAACATATAATTTTAGATATTTCTACTCAAAATTTATTGTAAAAATTTGTATCATTTTTATATATATTGTTTATGTAATTTTACATATTTTTTTACAATACGGAGAAGCATATAAATCAGATATTTTGATAAAATTCTCTTTCTTTAACACAAAAAAAGTTACTTACAACATCCATGTAAGGCTCCTGTGTAGTTCCGGATCAACACCTTCTATGTCGCTCAAAGTTATAGCTTTATTAAGCAACATTTTATAGAACGGAGTAGTAAAACCACCGTCAACGTGATGACCGTGAAAGACGGCGATGCCTATAATCCTTCCGGCAAAATGGAAATATGATAAATGTTCTGGATTTATGCCTGAATCCGGATTAATTTGAAGCGTATAATTATCATCTCTTGAATACTGAAAGAGTCCGTATTGCGGATTTAGCATCTCATGAGACAATAAATACAACCATTCACGTGCGACGCCGCCGTAATCAAGACCTTCCTCGCCGCGGAATTTGACCATGAGCCTTTTGCGCATATCTTTCGGACGCATTTTCATTATCAATCTGTATGATTCCTGTAAAAATAAGCAACATTTTGGCTTATAGACCGGATGTATCCTTGTAAAATCTTAATTCTTTATGTTAATAACAATTAAATTTGTTTAAATTTGTTTAAAAATTAGAAATAATTCTCAAATATTTCAAATATTATTAACGTAAAGAATTATTCTAAATTATTAGAACAATTTTTTACGTTAATACACAACAACATTATAATAATTTAATAATAATTCATTGGGCTAATAAAATTTATTTTAAATTATTAAAATAAAAAAATCGTATAAATGTTTAAAATTTGCTTACTTCGAATATTTCATTCCTCGACACCTCCAACCTACAGTGTCCACTCTGAGGCTGAAGAGCATTCAGTTCCGCTCGAAGGCATTTCAACTTTGCTACTAAATCACGCTTGTATTTTGGAAGAAGCTCATTATCCATGAGCTCCTTCGGTAATTCTGATACTGTTTGAGCATTTTGAGATGAGGCACTTTCCACTGAAATGCAAAAAAATTCTTATTATGCCCATCGCACTATCATCTATACTGATCTATATTCACGGATAGGGTTACCATATCACAAAAAAGAGTATACATATATACATATTATATTTTTTTTAAAAAAAGATAATTATTCAAGAATAGAAAGAGATTATTTTTTATATATTAAAAAAAATAATTTTAGGCATTTATTAAAATAAAATTTCTAGAACATAACTTTTATTAACAATTTTTATTAATATCATTTTAAATATAAAATTTTAATTAATAATCAAAGAAGTTTTATGATTTCAAAAAAATACATGTATTCTTAAGAATGTATTCTTAAGAATATGGTAACCCTACCCACGGATTAAGAATCTCGATAATGCGATTTTTTACGACAATTCGTCCTGATGAACAAAATTCTTCCGAAATGAAATGGCATTCTGCCCCAAGTGACAAAACAAGACTGATTAACAGTCAGACCTCCAATGACTAGATAGACGCCTTGGCAGATAAGATAAAATTGCGAGACGTACACAAATGTTCTTTTGTTTTGTTTTTGTGTGGAAATAAGTTAATTATGAGATCCGTAATGTGAGTATTATCGAATACTTATAAGATGCAAATCGAAGATGTAAGTGTTTCAGTTATTCTAGTGTATAATATATTTTCCTTTTTTAAAGAAAGTTTTGAAAGAAATTTTACTTACTTGTTGGAGAATTATTGTTACTTCCGTTTTCATTTCTCATTGGTTGCTGTGGCGTATTAGGTTGAATCATCGACGAATTCGTTGTATCCGCTTCAGCGATTTCGCTCGTTATCGAATTATTTGCATTATTCGCAGTTTGATTGTTCACATTGTTGTTTTGCCTTCTACTGTAGAGAGAATAATTATTTGACATTCTTGTGCGTAATTACGTTTAATCTTTTGACTTGTCTTTATACTTACTTCAGTAGACTGCTTATTATTTGACTGGACAGTCTGGGATCAGTAAACTGCGTTGTCCTATTATTGTGATCTACGAAATATACTCGTCCACTCTGGGTCTGCCTCATTTCCCATCCGCTGGGAAGAGGACCCAGCTCGTTCACCAATTCATTAGCTTGCAAGTCGCGCGGAATCCTTGGGTCGTGCCAAGTAGAAGATCCAGTTGGTACGTGATAGAAATATACTTGACCTTGTTGAGTTTTCCTCATTTCTATACAAACAATAGTCTCTTTTTGCTATATTTATACTCTAAAAAATATTGATGTAGATACAATACCATGCAGTGTCTATAATTTTCACCGTATTGATGTTAATATTAACACATGATGTATATTTACAACTCCTAGTGTTAGGTTAGTTTATATCAACATCATGATGATGTGGATTTAAAATCAAAGTAGTTAAATCTACAATAATGTTGTGGATTATAGTGTTACTTTATCACTAATACAGTGAGAATTATATAGACATCGCATAGTATATAGAGAATTATATAAACATGGTGTTAAGTCAATACCGATTTTATTTTTTAGAATGTATTAATCGTTTTCTCTAAATAATTAAAGAGCTTATAGCAACAATGGGCTAACTTACATATCTTGTAAAATAAAATAAAGAACTAATAAAGTTAAAATAGTTTAAGAAATAAAGTTAAAATGAAAATAAAAAAAAATCAATATCTACTAACTTTCACGTAGCATGTAATAATAATGAGCATGTAATAATAATAGCTTCGTTCGACTCAATAATTCAGTGAGCGCTGTTATTGATGTATTATTCCAGATCTAAAAGTCTGATTAGATCTAGAAAAATACGTCAATAACAGTAAACGCTCACTCAATTGTTGAGTCTGCTGAACGCAGTGATGTAACATGTATTTTTCCTATTACTTTAGCTTCAAAATTCATTTAAAATGTGAATTAGCTAACAAGTGAGAATTAGCTAATTTCTTCAGTTTACGTTATATTTAAAAATAATTTGATTGTACCATAACCACGAGGTAGGTCCGGTGGTTGTGGCGGATCGGTTCGTCTGTCATTACTCGACATAACGCTATTTCTGTTCCTATTGCTGCGATTAGGCCTTCGAATTTGACCTCCGCTGTTAAGGCCACGTTCTACTCTTCCATTTGCATTTTGATTGCCATTTTGTTCATCATTTCCTCTAATAATACGTCGATCCCTTAAGGACAATGCCGACGTCGCATTTCTTACGTTGTGTTGATTCTGATTGCGATTTTGCTGTTGTTGTTGCGTCGGTGTATTTCTCGGAGTATTTTGCGTCGAGTTATCTCGGCTGGGTGTTTGACTTAATGTACTGTCCATTCCCTCGCCAGTCCATTCGGGAGACATATGTCTTGCGGGACTTCCCTCGTTTCTTACGTTCGGCGAGCTCACGCTACTGCTGGGTGATGTAGGCTCCGATGATGACAATGGTGGTGGTTCCGGTGTCGTCGGTATAATAGCATTGTTAGGCCTATCAATGGCATTGCTTGAATATCTCATAGAGCAACTGCGCCTATGACCTACCTAATATGGCTTACTTACTATTTATATACATAACTAATGATTATTCTGAAGTTGAATAAATGCACCAGTTAATAGACATAATCTAATTATTGGATAAAATAACGAATATTTTAAATATTAAGCCTTTAATGATATATACGACTCTAAATAACTAATGAACTAATTGGATCATGTCCATTAATTGTCTACTTGATTAAAATAGATATACTTATTAAAAAATTTAGTTTCAATTCAATTTAGTTTCAAATTTGAAAATTTTGTTTCATTAAAATAATATAATTATATAGAATGCTTAGATGTTGATGACAACAAAAATTTTTAATATTTTAACAATTAGTTAAGCATTTTATAATTATTTTGATGTTCAAAATTATTTTTAGATTTGTAACTATTTAAATTTTTATATTTCAGTAAAATCTTTCTGTCTAGATAAATATGTCTAGATGAATTCTGTCTAGATGGATAATTGAATCTTCTGTTTATTCAAATATTTAAAATATTTCATATTTTTAATTAAAAATGTTTCCTGTATTTTGAATCTAACTAGTTCTCAATGTTAAAAATTCAGCAAAAATCACAACGCTTAGATAAGCCATACTAGATAAAGTTATTTCACAGTGCATTTTGGCTTGAGTAATGGCAAATATTACCGAGCATTCGGACGTATCCATTGCGTGCTCTTGGTGTGATGATTTACGTAGTAAAGTCGACCACTTTCCGTTCTTCTTTCTTCCCAACCGTCTGGTAGATCATTCGGGCAACTCAGATCTCCGAGCACATCAACTACGGCGTTATGACCGACTGTGTTACTTACAGCGCCGTTATGACCGTCCCGTGACATTAAGGACACGACGATTTGCCCTTTGACAACATCTGTGTCATCAGAATGCGCTTTACATAAGTCCAAACGTTGATCTAAAAGTATTTATATCGCTAATTAATCTTTATAAATCGCTTAAATTAACATACATAAAAAAAAATGTTTCTTATAACAGATTTTCTTACTTAAAGAGGCAAACTACTCTAAAACACTTAAATCTAAACGTTTCCTCAATATTTTTAAAATACACATTTTGGAATGCAGAAAGCAAGAATTTTGATTTTTATTTTTTATTGCTAAATAGCAATTTTTACTAGTTTACTAGTTTACTAGTTTCGTTAAAGTTCATTTTATTTTTACAGAATGTCAAAGAAAATTATTTCACTAATAAGTATATCAAACATTAAAAATAAGTATATCAAACAAAATTAAATAAGTAATGTAATAACAATGTGTCTAATTGTCTTTATCGTAACTGAAAGTCTTTATTTTATCATTAAAAGGAAGAAACATTTATTATTTAATTCTTTAATCATATTTTTGGACCTTTATTCTATATATCAACTATTTTAAAGTTCAATAACTTTGTTAAACTTAAAGTGTTTACATAAAAATTTAATTTAAATATTATAATATAAAAATATAATTCTTTACAGAAATTATTTATTTTTATTCAACAAAATAAATTGCCCTTTAATTCAGTTTTTAATTCCAATTTCTCGCCAAGTAGGACGTCTCTATTAGATACGAGATGCTATATATATTACGTGATTTTTTTTTGTTAAATAAGAATAAAATCTAATAATGAATAATATAAAACAAATAATATAAAACATATATATTAAGTACAAATACATACATCCTGTGTCCTTAAGTCTTTGGATAGTATTTGATAATATGCGTACGCATCCTAAAAATCCTCCATTCTGTTTTTTATGAAATTTTCTATAATTCCATACAGATATGGTGATTCCATCATTCTTTCCGATATATCTGTATGAACAAAAAATAGTTATCTTCTTATATGTTTATATTTAACGTTTCTATATTTAGTCTTAAAAAAGAACTCACAAGTCATAATGTTGATTCCATTTAGGATCAAGAGTAGCTTTACAGGTATCTGTACTGTGACATTGACCGGAACCTTCGACAGTTATTTTAGCAAAGGGATCAGGCAAACCTAAAAAAGAAATATTTTTAAATTATATTTATTTATATTTTGACATGTTACACTCTTTATAGAAAATAATACTCACGAAATAAATCCTTTCTAGCGAGATTGCGGGCGCATAAAACTAAAACATATATAATCATTATAATAAATGTTTATTTGCGCACGCAAAAACGAAAATACTTCTAACTTGCGTCCGAAAGCGCGTTATTAGCGATATTGTATCATTTTTTATTCATTAGAAATATTCATTGTAAAACAAGGAATAAAATAATGCAATAGTGTTGATAATGAATTTTTTAAATACAATATAGTCTCTACTATTTTTTTCCATCATGCACAAATCGCGTGATAATGATACATTTATACATAATTTAGGCTAGATTATTCCACCTTTCAGTAAATTTCAGTTCATTGTCTTATTTTCTTACTTTCTTATGCTCTTACTCTTTTACTCTTTTGTTTATCCAACACACAGTAGTTTATCTGAAGATGGAATAACTGGCACTTAGTAAATTAATCATATAATTATTATACGTATATACATATATATGTGCATGTATACTAATTCTAAGTTCTACATTATTGTCTAATCAGGTTTTATAAAATCATTCGATAATAATTTATAACTTCTATAATATCTTCTTATACTCATCTTATATTTGGTAAAGTTTCTCAATTATTGCTATAATTAATAAAATAAATGATTGTATCATACAATTACCATTGCTATTATGACAAAATTGGTTCGAATTTAAGTACAAATGATGTTATAACTCTTGTTAAATGTCATTAATGATGACTGAATAGCCTATTTAAAGAATAAAAGAAGAAGAGCCAGACATTAATGATAAAACTAATTCAAAAGATAATATTAACTTAAAAATAAAGCTCTGTTAAGAACATTGCTTTCTTAAGGACATCATATACTAATTCTAAGTCTCACAGTAATTTACAATACATTAATGTATCTTTTGTTTGTCTATCTCATATTTTTATTATATAAAATAGACTTTTAACTATTACTATAATTAATATATATAATTGTATCATATAGTTATATCTACTATTGATAAAATTAATTCATTTAAGTACAAATGATGTTGTAATTCGTATTAAATGTCGTTAAAAATGATCGAATAGCCTTTTCAAAAGAATAACCGGACATTAATGATAGCTAGAAAAATAAAATTGAGTTGAGGCAAAAATGGGGCATTTCGTTAAGAATAAATTACGAATGAATGACACATTAAATGGTCTTCAAGACTATCTATCCAGATTTAACAATGCTTTCATCGGTCTCCCAGAGAGCTCGCGGTGGGGCCTCGAGTCCCAGCTTCGCCGCTGAGGAAGCTACAACAATCAAGACGGAGGGCCAGGACGAAAATCGTGATCTTGACACGCGTTACTTGCGTGGGTCACCCAAGGTAGACCAAGCAGACACGGTTTGACGTTTACGCATCGCGTAAACTCGTCGTGGCCCCCTCCCCGTGGAAGAACGCGGTGCGTGCGTGAGGGCACGTCGATTATCAAAACAGGCCAAAGTGCGTGGGCAGGTGCTCTCGTGCGTGCGTGCGAGCCGCAGTTTGGATCTGCATGAGAGTCCCCCCTGACTTTCTCGCATGACGAAGACGCACGACGCCTCCGAGGAAGAGACGGAATCGCCGTACTCACTCGTCAGACGGATCTTCATAGCCCCGTTCCTCCTGCTACCGCCCGGGTTCGACATCCTGCACGCACATTTAACGCTTTGAACTGCGCATCGGCGCCGTAACTGGCAAAATAAAATACGGGTTACTATCCCGTGCTAAGAGAACGCGCGACGGCGACGGTGTTCACTGCTCGCCCGCACCACGCACACATATGCGAGTACATACATATGAAAGCGCGTGCGAACACTGCGAACAGTCTCTCATCGAACGCACTATCGACTTGGAACGGCCAGTCGATTCTCGGAACAGACTTGCACGAGATCTCGAGAGGTCTCGAGTCTGCGTAACGTAATTTTTAATAATACTTTTAATAATGTGACTAACGTCGTAGGCGTAATAATACTTTAATAATACTAACGTCGTAGGCGTAAATCAATGTTTAGGTGAATCGTGAGATAGTATATTTTTAGATTAAAGTAGATTAAATTAAATAGAATAGGAAAGAAGATGAAATTATTTATAGCAAATTTAATTGATCATGACTATTCTGATTGCTAACTCTCGATGTATCGAACGAAGCATATTGTGTTTCTTGGTTGCCTGTTGTGTAATAACGTGTATGTTAGGAACTTTAATGCTTCCCGCGTTGGAGAATATAACTAGAAATTCGTTCTATGTCACGCATGATGCGTATGATGTATCATTTTATCCTTGTTGTTTATCAAATATTAAAATAGAATAAAAAAATGATACGTCATGGACATCATGTAGACAGCACATACACATACACACAAATATTATGAAATAAAGAAATATTATGTTTATTGTACATATCATAATAAATGCTATAAAAATAATAAGATATTATAATTCAAATAAAAAATCACTTCCGTGATAGCAAGTTATATCATTTTATTGTCATTTTGACTTGCTATCAGAGTTATAAATATTTATTCATGTTATAAATATTTATTTATATTTATTAGAAAATATTACATAAAGTATTAATCTATTTTAATAATATTTCAAATAAAGTTCTATATAAAATATGTATAAAATATTTAAAATATATATAAAATAACATTTAAAAAAATAAATAAAGTAATAAATATTTATCATAAACATTCTGTGCTGTCTGGAACCGAATTTTATAGATATTCATTTTATAGATATTCATTAGTAGAAATTAAAAATAAGAAAACAGTAATATATACAATAATTTACCTAAATATGGCTCTTTTTTTATAATGTCGACAATATCCCAATTTATCGTAATGAAATTGCAATCTAATCTGTATAATAACTAAACAGATAGACGTATTCCAACGAATGTGATTTTTATGTTCAGATGTACTGCTTTCTAATTGTTTAACCGTTTGACAGCATCACAATTTTTACAGTAGATTCTATAAACTATCGGGTTAGCCAAAAAAGAATTGTGTTTTTTTTCTGTGTAAATAAAAGTAAAAAAAAACAAATTTTTCATAAAAACAAATAAATGATTCTCAACGCTCGATTTCGACATATTAAAATTCTTAGCAGTCTCTCATTAAAGTCAACCAATGCCTCTATTTTATCGTTCTCTATTTTATCGTCTCTATTTTATTAACTTTGATCTCCCTGAGCATGGTGCATCTTTAACATCAAAAGCTCCAGACCAAAATTTTGCAAACCAATTTTAACATTGTAGTTGTAAGACATTCGTCTTCATCATACACATCACTTTTTATGAGCTTGTATAGCGTTTTTCCTTTTTAGAAGAAATAGAGTAAAAAATGACGAAAATGTTCTTTTCGTATTAAATCGATTTTTCATATTAAAACGTCAAATAAACAATTATTAAAATATGTATATTTCTTTCTAACAAAAACAAACTTGAAGAATAATCTGTTAGGATATACAGGATAAATTGCTGTTTAAAATGAAATTATTTGTAAAAGATTGCCAATTTGGAAAAAAACACAATTATTTTTCGACCAACTCAATTATTCATTGAGAAATGTAGTTAAGGATTCTTATAGGCATTGATGAATTCATGTAACTTATTAACGCTATAAAAGGAAATCTTACTTTATTATTAAATTGAATAAATTTTTCTGAGATATCTGAAACAAGAAGGACAGTGAATCATGCGAAACATTCTCTGAATGTTTTTGAAGTCGTTTTTTGAATAAGTATTTCAAACGATTTGAATGATGTCCAAAAAATTCTACGCGCCTCATTATTGAATAACATAATTAACAAAAAATTTAAAGCTTTTTGCGTGACATTTAAGATTTTCTCAGTTTGTTATTTTCCATATTGTATGCATCGCTTAATATCATATAATTTTATATAAAATATATATATAATATCTATATAACATTTCAAAAAATGAATATTAATAAATATTTATCATAAATATTTTGTGCTGTCTGGGTAATTAATTTTCTGTACGTCAAATTTTAACAAAAATTATCAGATATAAAACAAGTTAACCGCCGATTAAGTTGAAATATAATTGAAATTATCCTGATATTGATTTTCTGAAATTTATTTACGTGTAGACTCGGACGAAAGTTTCGTCATTTCTGGTATTTTATTATACATATAAATCTGTTTTTTATATTGGGAGTACAAATTAGTTCGGTCCGTTTTTTGTGTTCAAAAATGCATTTATTTCAAAACAAAATGAATGAACAGATCAATTAAAGTATTGTCCATCGTTGCCTACTACTTTTTCCCTCTCTCAGGCAATTTTCGAATTCTCGAAAAAAATGACTTGTCTTTGGAGGCGATCCAATTTTCGATTTCTGTGAAAGAAGTGAACCGGTGACTTGCCAAAGCTGCATCCTTCGGAACAAGTAATCAGTAATCAGAAGGAGCAATGTCCAGAGAATACGGCGGGTGCGATAAAACATCTCATTTGAGCGTTTCCAAATATTTTTTTACGATTTTAGCGACGTGAGGCCAAGCGTTGTCATGAAGAAGAATAACTTTATCATGTTTTTGCTCGTATTCCGGCCGTTTTTCTCGCAATGCACGGCTCAAACGAATCAATTGTAGCCGATACCGATCGCCCGTAAATTGCCAGGAATTGCCAGGTTTCAGCAGCTCATAGTAAACAAGATCCTTTTCGTCCCACCAGATACAGAGCATGATCTTCGAACCATGAATGTTTGGCCACAGTATTGAGGTCGATGACAACGATTGACTGAGCTTAGCGTAGTATTCTTTCTTCTTGGGGTTATCGTAGAATATCCACTTCTCATCTCCAGTCACAATCCGATGCAAAAAACCTCATCTTTGATTCAGCTGTTCGCAAGTGAAAAATCGTCTTTCAACGTCTCTCGGTTTCAGTTCATTTCACCCAATTTCCTTGTTTTTGAATCATTCCCATGGCTCTCAATCGTACAGAAACTTGTTGAGTTATCTCCAATGATTCTGCAAGTTCCTCTTGCGTTTGACTCTGATCTTCTTCGAATAATGCCTCTAATTCTTTGTTTTCGAATTTTTTTTGGCTGTCTAGAGCGAGGCTTGTCTTCAACGCTGAATCTCCATCCTTGAAACCATTCCCTACATGAATCATCAGTTCGAGCAGTCACACATAAACTTCGAGTCACACAAGCATTCGATAGGCTTCAGCCGCACTTTTCTTCCAATTAAAGCAGAAAATCAAAACCTCCCGCCTGCTTGGTTAACACAAAATTCGATATTTCAAACACAATAAAAATCAAGGTTTTTGTATGAAACTCAAAGCGATATAACTGAATATTATTAGCAGATGTTTAACTTCTCTAAAACCGCCAAAATCAGCTGTCAGTATGAACCATTCACAACAGCTGGAGCTATCTTTAAGAAAACGGACCGAACTAATTTGTACTCCCAATAGTTGAACTATTGTATACTTTTGAAACTTAAAGTAAAATAGGTATATATTTTATATTTGATGAAAGTGAGAAAGAGAGAGTTCTGTCTAGTGCAGACTAGTGCAGAAATAAAAAATAGATACCTTATAATATCGCGTATCTAGCACAACACGATAACACTTGTAAATATTTTCTTATTTTTCAATCAACATATCGATTAAAAAGAGGAAACATCTTCATAGGAAGATATGCCGATACGAAAACGTCTTTAATCTTTTCATTCATCAGTTTTTCTTTATTGTTAAAGTCATAGTGTAAAAACATACAAATAAAAGATAAATATTTTGCGAATACTCATGAAAGGATGGCGGACATAACTAATTTATTCAGCATCAAGATACAATCAAATGATGTTGTATAATTTATGTATATAAAAATATGTCATGATGATATCGTTCCTTATTTTTCTTATTATCGCTACTTGTCAAATCTCAAACATGACTTAAACTTACAAATGTGATATCAGTACGAGTATATAATGATTATAATACCAACTGGCCTTGCTTCTACAAAGGGACTGCCGCTTATTAATATTAATATATAATATATATAATGTATATGTTCGATTAAATATAAAGCACTTCCAAAATTGACATTTTAATAAAAAACAAATTAAAAAATATTTTTATTAAAAAATAATATTTATTTTTTAAATAATTTTAATATCTCATTAGTCTTCCTTATTGGCATTTAATACCATCATTTTTTGAAGGAACAAATTGAAGATGCTTTATACTTACAGCCAAGGCTGTATAATATGCAAGAATGTATCATTGTCATGATCCCTGCACGTTTTGTACTATCATCGGTTAAATATCATCGCGAAGTCGCATTTATATTCAAAAGCATGACCATTTAAATAATCCAGAAATTTTTCTTTATTAGTAAGAGAAAGTCTAGGGAATATTTTATCTTTATTAAATTTGTGAAGATTTTACACCAAAATGACAAGTTAAGTGAAAGAAAGGTGGATTAATCCCGATGAAACGGACACTTCGTGCGAAGTGCAAGACAAATGGCACAAGTGAATTGCGAAGCTTCGTAACTCGTGCTTCGCATAATTCAGAGAAATCGGCGGAACTTCGCGACGCCGCGCGTATGATGCGCGTTCGGCTACACTTGGGTACCCCGCTGAAAAGAAAGTTTCTTTCGGGAAACTCTTTGGCAGTATCCAATCTCTTACAGATTAGAAAAGATTTCCGCCGATCGCGGAATGTGATTAACACCGATTACCGGCCGCGCAGTCCCTCGTTGTAACTTAAAAGCGACTCAAATCTCAGTTCTCCCCCCGAAAAGTGAGGAACGCGTCCACAAGGAAAACGGCACCCTCAATAATACTGAGAGAGCCTTTAGCCAAGCCAGTATCGCGAAATGTCGACTTGTATGATATCTTCGAGAAATAGTCGATATTAAGTGCACCCGCAGCGATGAACAAAGCACATCCAATGAGGGAGAAGAAAAGATCCTAAAAGATAAAAAGTTGCATTTGTAAAAATCTGTATATGATACTCTGTCAATCGTAAAGCTATTAACGTATTTTAATTTATACACATTACTATATTAACTATGTAATCTATTATGTAGATATATACACATGGGAAAAATTTCATATAATTTAAAATTCTATATAATTAAAATTGATGTATTTTATATACAATTATATACAATTATATATAATTACATATATAATTATTTATAAAATATATCCATATATATAACATTTTTCCCGGATATAAATTAAGAAATAATGTATCAAGTTACGACCCAGTTAATATCACTTAAAAGTAACATCAATGTTATATTTGTTACTTTTTATTAGTGTCAATTAGGGAATAATTTAAATATAGGCTGTGTTCTAAATTTACTGTCAGCATTGAAAATGCTACAGTTTATGTTACGTGCACTATAAATTTTCAATATTGGCAGTCAATTTTGGAACACAGCCATAGCTTCTTTAATTTCACTAGTTTCCTTAGACATTTGAATCTCGCGGTGTTTCAAATTTTCCACGAATTCCATTTATACATGGAGTAGCTCATGTAAAATACGACATGCCATAAATATATGTAAACTAAATGGATAATTTTTCAAAGTAACTGTGTATTCTTTACATCAATTGATTAAAAACGTTTTTTTATATTTTAAACATTTTCTATATTTTTGGAATTATTGGCTTGTCACACTTTGCGTTTCTGTATAACTTTATATTACGATTTCTATCTGATGAAAAATTTATCCTACAATATCTATTGAAACATACCACGCGACGGTTCACTGGCGTCCCCATCACGCTGCCGATAAACAAGCCGACCAGAATAATCAGATAGCCCCCAAAGGTTCCCATGGTTATCATCGCGGTAGGTTGATCTCCCCCATTGAAGGAATTGTAGTGCAATCCGATAAGGATGCACACCAAGAGCTGTAATCAGAAATATACATTTAATGGATAAAACATTTTTCTTAGCCTATGCGCTAAAATATCTTCTTTTTTTTTCATCAAGAACAAAGGTCTATCAGAAATAAAACTTTATTGTACTCTCAATTATCTCTTGCTTTTATCATTCATACAGAAACTAGCAGGTTTTTTTTACTACAAAGCAAAAGTACGGATATCGCCTACGAAACTGGGTCGATCCAGAGAGGGTACATCGACTCTCTTTCAATATCATCATAAATAAAATATTGCCCACTATTCTGCCCACTACTATGTCCCAGTTGGCAAGTTTTTATTTCTAGATAACAGGTCATAAATGTGATCGTTTAATATAGTCCGCCGGATTATTAACACAGTTATAAACACGTAAGAATAATATCTACATAAAGTATGTCATTATGTATAAACACAACAAATATTTTCGATTAAGGCAGATCTTAAAATTGATTGAACCAAAGATTTTCAAAAGTTCATGGAATGTATAATCTATAAAAACAATATTTACAATATTTATACAAATTTAGATACTTTTATTTTAATTAAAAAGAATCGATGTTTATTTCCATGATATAGAATATTGTTTAATGCTTATTATAATATAATAATAATGTATAAGAAATTAAATAATAATACTGATTATCTCTCTTTAACAAATTGATAAGTAATGAAAGTTGAAGATAGGTAGGTAAGCGAGAAATGTGCATAAATTTCTGGGCATTTTATTTCGCAATATATAATTTTCATCTTTAAGTCATCCATGGCGTCAACATTAAAATTACACAAGTCGGCCTTCGATGCGATGAATACATTCTGCCTAACATCACAATATAGTATATCTCAAAGAATCGCTCGGACTTGGTCACCCACGTGTCGATAAGCACGTGATACACACATCTCATTTATATCTACTATAGTCAGAGCTTCGTCACTAAGGAGTGCCATTATATCGATACATTAGCAATATAAATATATACTTTGTGTGTCAAGAAAGCAGCGCAAATTTATCTATACACATCACTATTAATTCAGTTATTATTAATCGCTATTATTTCAGTTATATATTTGTCAATTTAATTCATATATTTGTATATAATGTTTTTATTTTATGCAAAACAAGAATAACTATTTTTTTATATTTATTCGACGTAACGTCGTGTGTGTATATTAATAATACTTATTAATTCATTTTAAATGCTACGCTTTTCATTTATAAATTAATGTAAATATATGGCTCATTGGCAAGAAAATTAAAATATTTTACATTATTTAGCTAAGAAATAATTGTGAAATAACATTGTATAGTCATTAAAATTTTATCAAGAAATCAAACAAAGAAAGGAGCTAAAATTATATTTAGGAGCCATCAGACGTAGTCACGTAAAGATATATGCGTCGATTCGATGTCGATTCCATTATCATTTCTGACTGGACCAGGTCTCACGCTCTTATGATATCGCTGCGCGTGCTCTTAGCATCGAAACATAACTCGTGTTTGCTGCTATTGCAAGCATGATGTTGTAAGGATGTATCTGAGATATTTTAAAATAACGAAAAAAAAAAGTTACAGATCATTCTAAATCGAATTTAAAAATAATACAATAAATTTTTTTGGTGACAGTTTATTATCTGGATAACTTATAACTATAACTTATGATTCATAAATTATTTTAATAAATAGTAATATTTTTTAAATCTTGTACTTGCGCGCGCGCGTGAATAAAAATGTATGAAAAATTATAAAATAAGTGATAAAAATTTCAATTTTTTTAATGTAAGTACTTTATATATTTAAGATTAGTTATGTAAAGTATTGCGATACATGGGCTAGTTGTCCAATAAATAAACAAAATATTTATTTGTTTTAAATCTTTATCAGTATATCGCAATGAAACTTTACACCAGTTATTTTGAATACTTACAAAAAATTTTTACAAAATATTTACAAAAAAATTTAAAGTTCTCTTATTTAAATTTTAATTTATAACAATAAAAATTATAAATAAACTACAAAAATGTGTTGTTCAATAAAAACATAATGTTATGATAACTTTTATACCTATATAATTTATATTAACACATTTGTAAAAATGACTCAGGATACATCCTTAAAGAGCGTTAATTTGAAAACAAATTTAAATAAATGTATATGTTCGAAATAAATTTTTTAACTGCCTTTTTTTAAATTAGACTTTAATTAATAATGTCTTTTATCATTTTGCGTCTTTACACATAATAGCTACTTTATATTTTTAGTATTATATTAAGTTAATGTGAGGAAAAAATGAAATCATTTCAATGCATTATTGAAATCGAAACTTATAGGAAAGGAAGAATTCTATTTTTCTGAAACATTAATAAATATAAATAAAAATTTAAACAGATCAAAAAATAATTTTGTTGACCATCAAAATAGTAAGAAAATTCAAACAATGCTGCACAAATTTTTTTTCATATTTTAGCAACTATATTCAAATAATTTAAGCATCTTACATATTCATTTTCATAATACAATAAAATTATTTTCAAATTTAGTTAAATTTTTAGATACTTCAGCAAAACCTTTTCTTTTCATGTGGTATCGAGCTATAATTTTCCATCGCTTACAAATATAAACGAGCTTACTACACAAAAGGCGCAGGTTTCTTATGGCACGTAGGACTCAAAGAATCCTAACGGAAACTTCTTGCATCAATCGACTTCCGGATGACTTGAAGCGGACCGTAATAAGAAAAGGGAGGACAATCTTTGCGGTAATAAGCACGGATTATGTCACTCTCCATTCTCATCGTCTTACGAATCGCGAAAACTATGCAGCGTGTCGCGTAATCAACAATGAAGTCTGATGGCTTCTAGGTGGACGTTAATTTTCTTGATTTCGAAAGCATAATTTAAATCTCGATCGAGAAATTGGATTAATCGATCGGAAGAAACAGCGCAGTAACGTTAAAAATAAATTCGAGGGCATGGTGGAGCTCTTAAAGAAGTATGAAGCAACCTCGAGGATAATGTTTCTCTTGCGGCTAGAAATATATGCATGAAACACTATAATAGTTTTATGCAGCTTGAATCACGCACTTTCTCGAGAATTCAGTTTTCTACGTAATTTCGCTTCCTAAGAATAGAAGAGCTCTTTAGAGTAATTTATTCTTCTAGTTTGCAGGTGTAACCTGTTTCTAGTTATGTCCTTGCGTTTCTAGTTATGTTAATTAATGTTTTGTAATGTGAAGTTACACATACGATTGAGACTGTGAATAAGAAAATCTGATTTATCATAATCATAATTTTTCTCATTTACAATGCTGTATAAAATCTATATTGAAATGAGTATTAAGAGAATTTATGCTGTAATTTCTTTAAATTTATATTGATGTATATATATCTACACTCTTTTTCATAAAGATAATAAAATATTACGCTGTTAAAGTTGATAAAACTTTGTTCCAACAATCTAGTGTCGAATAATGAAAAATATATAATAACAAAAACAGCGCATAAAATGTGATGCCATTTAATTTTCTAAGCTTTGGTAATTAATTCAGTTTTGTAATGATAAATCTATACCAATTTTATTAAAAATAAATAATACGATATGTATAAAACAAATAATATAACATCTTGTGCATTATATTTATTATATATACTTACAAGCTCAAGAAATTTTATGATCGACAGCCTCGTAATTGTAGTCATTTCGTCTGATCTGTAAATAGAAAAGAAATAATATAGAAATTAATTAATTATGCATGCTATTCATTAAAATAGAAAAAGGATGCACTTTCGTTTGTGAAAAAAACATTACATCTAGATTTATAAAATTACACGATGAGTTACGATTACGTGTATATTGATGGACACCGAAAATGCGCCGTATAAATGCAAATACAATGACTATAAGCACAGAATGTAAGTCGTATGAAAACGTAATGAACGGTAAAGAGAAATGGAGACACGATAATCGATATAATCATACTACAGTCGTATAAACGAAACCGGAAGTACATGGTGTTAAAGTGCCTCTTTTAAAAAGACATAAATTGCATATTGTAAAATATGTAATACGCCGTTTGACAACACGTGTGATACTATTAAACTTCCGCGAAACACAATTACATTTTGTATACATAAGTATGTACAAGCATAATAAAAAAGTTAAGAGAAGTAAATCAGTTTATTTCATATAAAATTGGCAACGTAGATCGAATCCTTTTTCTCTTATATTTGCTGCGGAACTATCAGCGGTTTCTTTATCTCATTTTATCGTGATAAAATCCCATTTGTTATATAATTAGTTAAAGTATTTGTATACGGGAGAAATTTTTTAAAAAAGTTTTTCATTTTCAGAAAGTGAATATTAATTAAAAATTTATTAACAAATAATAAACTATATTTCTCGAAATCATTTTACCTAAAAAAATGTGCAAATTAAAATGTATTATCTCTAAAAACGAAAATAAAAAATTGTATTATTTGTGAACATACAAAGAATTAAAAAGATATTTGTATAAAATCAAGAAATTTATACAAAATTGTTAATTAATATATTTTCTACAAACAAGGTTTTTTTTTAATAAAATTTTCCTCTGTATGAATATCTTCTTGCACTTATTATATGTTCAGATAAAAATTCTTGTAATTAGCGATATCAAGAATCTTACATTTATAGTTTATCAGAAACCGGAAGACGTAACAGCGTTACAACCAATTGTGTGCTATAGTCTACGATGATATATCGTGACCATGGTGACCTTAATATATCATCGTGATATTTATTGCTATTTTAATGACCGCGAGTCTAAATTCAACTTTTTGATCATTTCCGTAGTTCTTGTGTGTTAACATTTTTGTGTTTTACTTGCCTTCTCGTGGAGGAAGTTATTTAATAACAAAATTTGACGTTGTTTCTTCGCACAATAAAAATTTTATGTGTGCTTTAATATTGAATTAAATATTAATAAATATACATATACTATATATGTATCTATGTATACATATATGTATATACATATGAGATGTGTTATAAAAATATTTTATCAATAATTAATATGATTTGAATGTATAAAGAGCTATTGAATCGGAAGTAATAGGAAATCGAGGCACGCGCACCGAACTTAACAACGATCCACTTCCATGTTATATTTAGATACATCGGGTAACTTTCGAGAATGTTACTCATGGATTAACAAACACGCGCGCATTTCAGTTCGAAACTCCGTAAAGCTCGTGTTATACTACGCTTTGTGAATGCGGATTATATTCGGATTTGCAAACTACGAATCGCTGATTCATCAATTCAATTGATTAATCAACAATTCGCAAGTCACGATTCTAATCCAATCTACATTCACAATATAAGGGTGACATAGATTTTTCCTAGAAGAGGAAGATAAGAATATAAATATATACTCTGACATAATTATACATCAAATTATATAATTATATTATTACTAATCATAATAATTTAAAATCCTTAATCACTAATGTACAACAAATTAATTGTGGCAACAAATTAATGTCGGCAAATAATTGTTTTGTAATATTTGTATATCGCCATAGGCGAATATTGTACACTTAATTGGACTAATATAAACTTTACGTCATCTCTCGATCGTTGGATGACTTGAGCGGGTCGGCACGTATGATGATGACCGTGACATACCCAAGATGGATGGAATGCAACAAAATTAAAATAGCACAACGTGTGTCCTGAATGCTTATATTGTCATTGAGTAAGAAGCGTTTGTTAGTCAGTCAAGCAAAATAATGGATTTTCTAGATTTAGATCTGTGAATTGTCAAGTGAAATTAATATAATAACGTTCATGAATTTATTTTCTCAATCATTTTCTCTCAACGACAATTACATTAAGAGAAAATAATTGTAATTCCTTCAACAGAAATAAATATATACAAAAGAATAGATATGTGCAGGGTATATGTAAAAAAAAAAGATTTTACTGAAGTATCTAATAATTTAAATAGATATAAATCTGAAAAGTTTGTGAAAACAATTGTGTAAAAAATTCAAGCACGATGAGCAATGCTACAAAATTTTTTATATTCTAATAATAGCGTCTCACATAATTATTTTGATAATCCAAGAACATTATTTTCAGATTTATATCTAGCTAAATATATACTTTAGTAAAACCATTCTTTTCATACTTTAAATATATATGTTTCAGTCAGTGTTTTATCCCACTAATTCAAATGGAACGACGTAATAAATATTTAAGTTATTCGTGAGAAATTCGCATAAAAAATTTCTCGTGTGCCTTTGAACAAAGTTGGCAAATAGTAAGCGTAACATAACAAGTAATAAATTTTATTTATATTACATGACCTTGCTTTATTTGTGATTGTTTGGTTCATTTCACATCAATCGAGTAGAAACTGTCATTTATATTTATAGTATAGGTACAGAAAGCGCACGAGAAACTTTTTATTTAAATTTCTCATGAATGTTTGAATTTTGCATCTTATAAATTATAATAAATTAAAATTATTTGAAGTTATGATAAAATCCGTATGTATATTACTTGATCCTTTTCTTGTAAGAAGCATTTATTTAAAAAAATTTAGAAATATATAGGAATAGAAATATATAGGATTTTTATATATTATTTATATATTTTATATATTATTTATATTTTTCATTAACATTACTCTGAATAAAAATTTATCCTCACAATTAAGAACTCTTTTTTTATGTCTTTATGGATTGCAAAATGTATTAATTAGCACTATTTTAATGTAAAAAAATAAACTTTTATCAAATGTTATTTTAAACTGTCAAAATTTTAATCATAATAACTGTATTAAACTCAAGAAGTTCATACTCAAGTAGTCATGAAAATTCATTCATAGTAGAAGAGTTCAAAAAATTAATCTGAAAATAATTACAAACAAAGTAATTACAAACAAAGAATATATAGGAAATTATTAATATATAGAAGATTTAGCAATTAATAAAACATCTAGTATTGTCTATGAACGATGTATTGAAATATAAATATGGATAATATAAATTGTTTATCTTCTGCAACAATCATGTCAAAAATTTGATATGGATAACAATCACGTTATTGTTCGTAATAATTTATGATTTCGAACAAGATGTAGATTATAAACGTTAAGAGACAAATCGCGGTCATGTAACACAAGAAAGGGACGCACTTTATATCGAAAAGGAATACACTTTCACAACGCTCACCACTACCTTGACTTCGTTTTTGTAATTTCTTTCTGATTCATTCTTTCCTTTTCAAGGCATATGTTTTCAAAACCAGGATATATATCATTGATTTAAAAAAAAATATTGATAGAAATAATTGAAAACAATCTAAAATCATTGGGTATCAATATTTGTATTATCATAACAATTAAAACTAAATATTTTGTATCTTTTATATTTCTAATCAATATCGCTAATAATTATTTTTTTATCCCGAATTTTTTATTTTTTTATCACGAATAATTATATTACTTTAAAAAATAAAATTATACATAGTATGAAGCACTCCGAAACTTGTAAATTTATATTTTAATGGCATACAATATATGATATTATTTTAAATTTCTTTATTCTTAATGTGTATCTTTTCTTATATTCTGTAACTAATATTGATTAAAAAATATCGTACTATGCATAAGAACAAGTGTAATTGCGCATAATTGAATACAGTTAAATATTGGGGCAAATTTCTAACAATTTTATATTATTGACTTATAAAATTTGAAGCCAGTTTCTGAACAGATTAGTCATCAAATGTTTTCATTACTTTTAATGACTGCGCATCCATGCGAATGTTATATATACACCTGGTATTCTTATATCATAATATTGCGTACATACAAATGCGCATTCGAAGTTTACTTATTTTTTTTCGCAAACTGCATTAACTTAAGATAAAGATATCATAAAAGCGTCACACATGGTACGACGTAAACGAATATAGCATTTGATGTATTATTTGCTAAAAAGACGTTTTTTTTTGGTGTTTTTTTTTAAATAAAATACTATATCTCTCTTTTAATAATAAATGGAAATATATTTATGTATATATACATA